TGAAAACTAAAAAGAAAAAGCTAGAAGCGCACCAGGAGCAGGATCAGAGGACTTTTTCTTCACTGGCACCAAGGACTTTAGAAGCAGTGGCCAGATCAGGCAGAAAAGCAGGGCAGGATGTCAGCCATGCCTTTTATCCATGGAGCCTTTCAAGGGGATCATGGTACCCTGCCATGAGCTGCATCCACAGCGAGGGTGCATGTCCAGACACATGACTCCAATCAGGTCCTTGGAATAACTTCTCTGTCAGCAGCCCAGGAAAGACCAGCCAAGGCACTGTTTCGGCCCCGATCTGCTGCAAGTCTCTGATCTGCTTTGCAGCATTCTCCTTGGGACAGAGCAGACCTGCACCCAGCAGGGCAAGAGGATGGACACGGGCTGGCCAAATCCCCTGGACCAGAGCTGCCACATCATCCAGGATGCTCAGTGGCTTTCCTGCTGGCAGCTTCTGCAGTCCAGCAGTCCTGGGGATGGCTCCAGCTTGGAGGTGGCTCACAGACAGCTTGTGCTGGGTGGGGTGATGCTCTGAATTGGCATCGCTCCCCCAAAATCACAGCGCTGTCAGCTGTAAAGAAGAGCAAGCAAAGGGTCATGCAATGTAGAAAAAACCTCCTCTGTGGCCCTGAGGCGAATTGTCTTGGGGGCAGAAGCCGAGACAAAAAAAGCCAAAGAAGCCTTTGAGCCCAGAAAAGGATTAAATGGATTTACTGGGTCCAAAGAAAAGCCAGGCAGAAACAAGGGGAAAAAGTATACTGTCTTGGTTTCTTCAGCTCACTGCTATTCAAGAGAGAAGAAATATGAGCTACAGTGAACTGGGAAAGGATTTTTTTGAATGTGTGAACGAAAAAAATATATTGTTCATGCTTATTTTGTGTTGTCAAATATGGCAGTCTGGGAAAGAAATAGCCATACAGATTTCTGTATATTAACAGAAAAGGAATCCGGAGCAGTGGGGAGTTTGTTTTAGCTGCCCATTACAGTCTGGTGCTGGAGAAACAGTTTTTTCAGGTTACTTTGTCAGTGACCATTTTCTGATGTAAAGGCTTACTGTATCATGGCCATGTTATTCAGGAACCACCAAACTGCCCAAATCCTGATTTCAGCTGCAGTGTTGCATGTACTACTGGATGCAATCTAAGTAATTTCTCTGTTCCTCTTATAAACTTTGTGTTCCTTGAGTATCAATAAAATGCCCATGAACCCCACTTCTTAGAAAATTCACTTTTGAAATGATTGCTTGTATGCAGGCATTCTCTTTATTTATGTTTGTATTTAACTTCCACATTTTTAATACTCTAAACCTGCTTATCTGTAGGAGACACTTTAATAATCTGATGTGAATAATATTGATACCTAAGAATGGAGGGAAATGCATTATGCCTACTTTGTTATTCAAAAATAGGTGCTGAGATTGTGCATTTCTGCCAGTGTAATCATCTATTTGTTGGAAAAGCAGCATAATATAGGCCTCCACTTTTGCTTAAACTTCAGCCGAAGATAGCAAAAGATTAATAAAGACAGACTTGGCACTAATTTACCAGAAAGTGTCACAAACAAAGCTTTGTAAAGCAGCAGAAGTTGCTCTGTGGCCCTCAGTACCAGATCTCCAGTACAATTTTAATTCATTTATATTACTTTTTTTTTTTTTTTTTTTTTTTGGGGGGGGTGGTCCTCTAGAATGTGGCCCCATCCTTTTTGCCATGCTTCTACATAGGTACAAATATTTCGGTGGTGTAAAAACCTGCTTGTGTATCTCTGAAGATCTTTTTCTCTCCTTCTTTGGACTGTTCCTCTTTTAAAGCATGGACAGAAACTTGTTATGGAAGAAATACGTGTTCACACATCTTTGTATATTCAAGTCCACGTTTGCAGCAATTCACTGACATGCTGCAAGGTCATGTCCTTATTTCCTCATTTTCAACTTTATGTAATCCATTTCTATAAGAATGAATATCTGGACCATGAACTCTCCTTTATCAAAGCATATATTTGTAGGCTGTGATATCTCTGAGTACACAGATACCTGGTTAGGTAACGTGTTTGCATTTGAGCTATTTGTGCAGCTATTGAGCCGCAAGAGCCACTGAAGCACTGTCACCGAGTGCCAAATTTGCTGAAGTCTGAGAACCCTTTATGGCCTCAGATAGCAACGTTTTGGTTCCCACTTGTGTGCAGAGCAGGTAAATAAGTTATTGTGGTGCTCTCCATCACCAGTCAAACAGAAATCATTTTGCCATTACACAGCTTTAGCAGTAGGGAATGTGTATCGGAATTGCCTTACTGACCTAAATGAGAATAAATGCGGGTAGCACTCAAGTCTGATCCTCCTCTTTTTTTTCCTTTTGTCCATGTACTTAGAAAAGTGGATATAAAAGAGCTCACACTCTGGGTGTTGTATGCAAAGTGTGTGTGTAGCACAGAAAACGTTACTCTGGAAGCATGTCTGCCTTCACCCGTGTTAGTGACTCATAAAAGATTCTGTCTTTAAAGAGTTTCAATAATTAATTTTTTTGCTTAATATATTTCCTTCAGCCCCAAAACAGCTAAAAATTGCAAAATAACTTCTGATTTCATGGGGTTTTTCTTGGGTTTTTTTGGGTTTTGGTTTTTACCAGGGACCTTCAACAATGTAAGAAAAAGAAATTCTGCAAAGGTATTTCCTATCATACCATGCTTCTTACAGACTTTCCCCATTCCTTTACACTCCACCTCAAAGGAATAATTAGCTTCTAAAAAATGTTTTTCATTTTGGCTGGGAGAAGACAGAGCATGTTCTTAATTAAGGAAGTGTTATTAAAATAAACTTCTCTAGGAAAATGTACATGATGTAATATATAATATAATTAGAAAAATACTTTTATTTCTTATGGGGTTGTTTTTTTTTTTAATGGCTGACTGAAAAGTTTTCAGCTTTTCAGCCAACTCAAGTATCAGCTCTATCTTCCCTTTCTGTAATCATCCTCTTGAGCGCACTCACTTTTTTGGCTTATTCTTTTCCTCAAAAAGCAGTTTCATAGATTTTGTTATTTCACTTGCTACCTTAATTGTCTCTAAATTTACACCAAGAAAAAGATGGATATTTTTCTTTTCATCAATGTGTGTCTCCTAGCTTGGAGTCCTGCCTCTAGCACTTGCTGGTCACATAATTTTTATGCCTCATTCTCTCTGATTTTACTGCATTTGTTACAGCTGCAATCACACGTACAGAAATTCCAAGATTTCAGTTAAATGCAAGTCCTGCCTCACATGTTTACTTCTACCAGGCTTTCAGCCCAGAATCTCTAAGCTAACCTGTATTACTTTAAAAACACTGGCATGCTGTCATCTTTCTTAATGGCTTCAACTTTGTGCTGATTTCTTTTCTGAAGTCTGAACTCCTCATTAGAAACTATAGGTTGAAGTTTATGCAAACGTTATAATTTGTGCAAATCTTACATTAGCTGGGCCCTAGGGAGCCTTCAAACCACCCAGCAAACTGTGAGTTTCTTCCTGCAATTGAACTGTAACTCTTTCCTCTTGTGCTTTCTCACTAACTTCAAAATATTGCTTTATCCTCAGTGTCTGTGTTGGCCAGTCCTCTCTAAAATGTTATCAAAAGGCATCAGTTTTTCCAATATTATCTGACATGCTGCAGCATAACTGAGCAAGTTGCATTATTCAAACCACACAGTGAATGCTGCTCAGGTGGAAGCAGCATGCAGAGTGGTAGGTCGTGTCATACCAAAACAAAATGTGAGTGCTAGGGCTCCCCCCATCCAAGGGAAAAAGGAGCAGGTCCTGATTTTTGCAGGCAGTTTACCTGGAAGAGTTTTTTTCCAAAGTAGTTGCACACTGATTCTGTGTCTAATGTCAGGGCTGGCTTGTTTGCTAATAATAGACATCACTGGATAGTAGCAGTGCTTCAGTACAAATCTGAATGTCATCTTTAAGATATTTGGACCTGCCATAACTTGAAATCAATGAGATGCTCACTATTAATGCATTTTGAAGACTGTCTGTAAATGCCTTTTGCTTTTTTACTCCCTATATAGATCTGTGTTTCAGTTATCATCTTCCATTTTCTTTCCTCATACCACACAAGTATGTTGTTATTTTTACCTCTTTTTTAATCTTCAGCTGAGAGCTTAATGAGCACACTGATAAACCCATTTATTGTAAGTTCCAGCACATTCAGAAGTCAGTTTAAAATAAGCTGTGGTGCACAGGAGTAAACACACATTTTAGGCTAAAGTGATGGAGGAGATTGGTGCTGCCACATAATGTTGATGCCAGGTGCTTTTCCATCTGCCACAATCCCAAGTGCCTAAGCGACCCTGGTGACAAAAGGAAACCTGAGGAAAATGTGAGCCCCTTCTGGAAGGAAGCATGTTACTTACTGGAAGGAAAGTGGTTACTTAGGACATGGAGAAGGCTGACATACTTCATGATGTTCCTGCCTCAATCTTTACCTTAAGTGCTCCAGCCACACCATTTAAGTTACAGATGACAAAACCACTGTCCATCATGGTTGAGAAGATGTGGCAGTCCAGTGAAGTTCCCACTGACTGAAAAAGGGGAGATGTAGCCCCACATATTTATAAAAGGAAAAAAAGGAAAACCTGGGGGACCACAGACTGGCCATACTCACCTCTGTGCCTGGCAGGATTGTGAAACACATGGAAAATAAGGAGGTCATTGGTGACAGCAAACATGACTTCATCAAAGGCAAATCACGCCTGACAAATTTGATAGCTTTCTATGATGGGGCTACAGCATCGGTGGAGGAATGAAGAGTGGTTATTGTTATCTACCTGGACTTGTGCAAAGCATTTGACACAGCACCCTTGTCTCTAAACTGGAAAGATGTGGATTTGCATGAGGAGATGCTGATGTGCTGGCACAGCACACCCCTGGAGGCAATAAAGCTTCATATGAGTGCCGAGATTAAGATTTGTGCACCTGATTGTCAGGTCAAGGTCAAATGCAGGTAAATGTATGCAAATACATGAGACAAACTAAGGTTTATGTGAATATGAATGGTGTTTATTTGACCATAAACTGTGAAAGAAGCAATAAAATGAGTGAAATGTCATGCTTAAAGGAGTATTAATGCAGCAACTAAGTAGGGTAATAGGAAGCTTATACAACTGGCGTATGTTCATATTTGGTTTTTATTTTACAGCTAAGCAAGGCAAGGCTTATTATTTCACCTAAAGTGTGGTTAAAAGTGTCTGTAAAAATGTATTAGACTGCTTAAAATTTATATTTCATTTACTTCCAGGTATAATACTCTTTACTGTTTATAAAAAAATACTCTCCTTCTGAACTGTCAGCTCAGCAAGCGTAAGTTGGACTCTGAGGTCTGGGCATGTCTGTGTCTGATCTGTTCAATAATAAAAGTTATGTGGTAGATCTTCAATGCCTGCTATGCTACAATTTGCATGCTACAATTTGGATAAAGGTGTGTGTTCAATGAGGGACTTGAATATGCACATTTTGTTTTGTGCAAACAAAGGAGATGTCAGCTAAACAAATAAACACGTATGTAAATGCTTCTCATGCAGCAAAATGCCTGTGTATTTGTCAGCAGTTTGCAGAATACAACAGCAAAGACAATCCTGCCTGTTGCTTGCAGTCAGTGTCTCAAGAAGGCACTGCTGTGGCTTCCCTCCTTTATTACCAGAACAAGGCTCAGCCTGCCCCTGGCCATATAAAGCCCCATTCAGAGAAAACGTACAGGGAGGAGTTTCCAGGAATTAGTTTATTCTCTTTGTTGCCTGATATTCTGCCAGATGCAAGTGGGGAGGGATTCACAAAAACCTGAAGAGTAAGGCTAATCTCCTCCATGCCCTCTGCAGTCACTGAAGTGGTAGATGGACTCCTCCCTGGCACAAGCAGGCATCAGCACCTTCCCACAAGGCAGCCCGCAGAATTCAGGGATGATCCCTGCAGGCTTTGGTAGGAACCCTACCCCTGGTCCCCACAGGGTAGACAAGTCAGCTGGCTGGGAAATCAGGAGTCTGGGAGCTTCCTTGCTGGACACTTCCAGAGACATTCCTTGTGCTCCCTCCCACTTCCACCATCCCCATTCACAAGAGAAGAGGGGCCCCAGGTAACAGCTCCTGATCAGTTTGCAGTGGTCCAGGGGACAGATTTTACAAACTTTAACGTGTGAGCTGCGTTTGCCTTTGAAAATATATCCCTTGCACTTGAAGAAAATCGGTTCTCAAAGTTGCTTGAAAGAGTCAAGAGTCATTAAAATATGTAAATGGTAAAATTGTACATGGATAATAGTCTGATTACCATTTCAGTGACAGATGTTCTCACACAGAACCAGATTTTCAAAGGAGATCCGGGTTAAATTTTCAAGTATTCAGCCCAACATCTGGAGCTGAATTTTCAGATGCGCCCACCTCTTGCTGAGGCACTAAGTGGGCAATTCTCTGTAAAGCCCTCGACATGTAATTCCCATTGTGGTCCTAGTCAGACTCTTTTTTTTTTTTCTTAGTTGGAAAAGAAAATTTGCAAGCAACTGAACTTGTTTGAATATCTGGCCGGGGCTCTCAGTGCCGAAGAAATTCTGTAAATCCAGCTTCTCACGTGTACCTGAGCCCCACAAGCACAAGATCACTGAAGCCTAGAATGCTTTGAGTTGGAAGGGACATTAAAGATCATCTAGTTAGACCACCCCCCAGCAAGGGTAGGGTTGCTGCCCACAATCACACAACCACAATCAGGGCCCCATCCAATTGAAGATTTCCAGGGATAAGGCATTCACTGGGCAACCTGTCCCATGAAGCAATACCATGGGAGGGTGTCCCACATGCCTTCTCTTGAGGGGCTTGTCAGGGATCTTGGTATAGCAGAGTGGACTTGCTTGGCCTACTTAGGGCCATTGGCAAAGGCCTGCTATACTTCATGCTGTGCATCAGTCTCTCTAGGACATCAGGGAAAGGCAAAGAAGTGGGTGAAACAATAAAAGTCACACTGAAACCAAAGGCAGGCTTCCAAACACTTGTGCAGTGCAATTGGGCACCAGGATCTCATCTTAGTCACAGTAGTTCAGTATTGGACCTACTACCAAAATCATGGGAATTTAAGTGTGACGGAGGACTGGCTCTTCTATGTGCGTGTACACATTGCCCAAAATATGACAGAACCTCCCAGGCAAAAATGGAGCCTGCAATGACAGCTGACTTCAGGAGGAGCATCACCATTTGACTTGGGCATTGTGCAACATTCCCATGTAAGGCCATGTAACTTCCCTCCTGCCGAAGGCACTATGGAGGGAAGCCAGGATGGCTTAGCTGAGCTGCTGTTGAGCACCTTTGTAAAGAGATCTGTGTCACTAAATCCCATAGCAGCTATGACAGCCAAAATATATCCAAGAGCAAACACCATCACTGTGCTGCTGCACTGGGGAGATGCTTCAAGGAAAGGCGTGGAGAAGTCAGGGAGAAGCTCCCAGAGGCTGCAAGTACACTGGGAGGGTGCAGGACTGCCATCAGTACCATCAGCTCACACAGTGGAATTGCCACACCTATATTAAAAAAAAAAAAAAGATATCTGAGTTTCTGCTATTAAAAATAATAATCTTTTATCAATGTATGTAAATTGCTTTAAGAGGGGGAAAGATGTTCAAGTGCAATGACTCATTTTCGCATTCATATCTAAGAGTGTAAGGCTAATACCGAAAGCACAGAAGTCGTTCTTGCACATTTGGTTTATTCTGTGTTCGGTTTCTAGAGTGTCCGAAACACTTTCATAATCACTTGCTGTCTGACTTGGGCTTCCTCATTACTGGGAGGTACAACTCACCCACTACACTCACTCAGTGCCTTGCGACCTTCACAATTCGCTCATATAATAATGCTAAATTAGTATTCTGGAGGCAGGCAATTCTGCTGAGACCTTCTCTTTCATTTTCTTTTTATTGTAATTTAAGCAAACCTTAGCAACTCATTTCCAAAACCTGTGCCTTTTTTAAACTATCATTTATTTCAAAGTGATGCATCAATTATCAAAAAAAAAAAAAAAGTTTTTGGCAGGCATTCCCACAAACTCTCTGACCCTCAGTAATTCCTGGTTGCCTCATTTTAAAAGCGAGGCATGAGTGTTTTCTGCACAAAAATCAGCAAGCTTTAAAACTGCAGGATTATGACCATCCTCGCTCACTATTTGTGGAAGGTTTGAAAATCTCAAATTTCATTAATTTTTTTCACCCAGGGTTGTCTGACAAGAAGTTTCCTGTTGGAAGGATTTTATTTTGAAAGTCTACAGTCATTACTCTTTGTTACACTGCGATGGCAGAGGAAAATGTATTCTATAAATGTGGCCTAGTGTAGGATTTGTAATTTTCTCTCCCCCACCCCCCATTCCCCTTCCCCCCTTCCCTCGCGTTCCCCCTTTGTCCTGCGTTCCCTTCTCACTCCCCCTCCCCCCGCGGTCCCTTGTCCCGACCCTGCGTTCCCTTATCTCTCCCCCTCACCACGCGGTCCCGTCCCTGTCCCCCGCCCGCCCACCTTTCCCCTCACCACACAGGCTATCCCTCCCCCCCACGCCCCCCCCGTGGCTTTCCCGTTGCTGTCCCCGGGGTTTCCCTGCCTCCCGTCCCATTGGCCGTGGCTCAGGTTCCCCCCCGCCCCCGGCACGGGGTATAACCGAGCCCCCCGCTCGGTGCCCCGGTGTCTCGGGGGACACGCTCCCACAATAAACACGTGTTTGCACCCGAGCCCCGTGTCGCCATTTAGTCTGTTCCTGCGCTAGAACTGAGCCTTGCAGAGCCGAGGGGAAAGCGGCCGCCACCTCCTCTCCCCTCCTCACCGTGCCCGCAGGCATTCGCCCGGAGCCGATCTCGCACGGCAACAAATGGTAGCAGAAGATGGCTATTTCCATCGATTTGTGAAAGGGGGGAGAGAGAAAGGAACTCTGCCGCCGCAAGAGCTCTGCAGACGCTAAGAGGAGTGGATCCGCCAGGCGGAAAACAAACCCAAAGCTCCGGGACCCTCTTCCGTCCTCGCCGGCATGCTCTCTAACCCGCCCGGGAGCAGCCGTGCTGCAGGGGCAGCCAGACTGCAGGGGCCGGGAGCCAGGTAGACTTACCCGAGGACAAAGAGGACAGTTTGGCAGTGGCTCGATGGACTGAGCTCGAAGACTGGCCCGTCAGGGGGGCGGCATTTGAATGGGGACCAGAGGTTGATAGTGGCCAAACCCAGGGTTTCAAGGGCGAACGCTGGTTAACGGGAACACCCAGACTTCTGGGAGAGCCAAACTGCGAAAGAATGCGTTCTCAGTTCAGCGCGATTTTCCACCACCGAGGAGAGAGATAGAGATTTCCCCGTCCGAGCCCAGAGTGTAAGTTGGGTCAGAGCAGGGTGGGACCCTGGCAGGCAGCTGGGCTACCTTTTTTTTCTTTTCTGAGTTTTAACCACCCTCTGTGCCCAGACAGGGACTGTAGACTTGCATGTCCCTGGCGGCCAGGAGGCTTTTTCTTTTCCGAGGAGGACGCAACCTCGCTCGGTCTTTTTGGGGTAACTCATACTGGAAAGCTCCTTCTCTTTCTCGGAAAGCTGCCTTTTCTACCCTCTCCTCCCTATTCTGGGCTATGGGGGCAGGGGGGGTCAAAAGGACACCAATGGGACAGAATTGTAAACGGCGACACATCAGCTGTGGGAGAATTTTTAACACCCTAAGAGAGGCCCTTCGCATCCACGCATTTCATCAGCTTCCAGCCGCGTCGGGCCCCTCTCCTGTAGACTTTCCCCTCGGCTTCTGCGAAGCTCCCCCTTCCCTTTTCCCCACAGACTTCCCCAAACCTTCTCCCTTGGGGATGGCAGCAGCCGAGCCGCCCCAAGCGCCATGCCGGACACTGTTATCCTCCCCTAGGGGTGGCATTGGCCGTGCCTCCCCGGGTGAGATGCAGTGTACCCGGCACCCCCTCCCAAGATGGCACTGGCCACGCTACAGGGACCCCATTTTCCCACCTTGACCCTTCTCTTCCGCCCACGTTTTCCCACCAGCCCCACCCATCCCCCAATGGCCCTGCACCATCCTGCAGCGAGCCAGCCCCTATTGGGGGGGAGGTGAGGTTGGATTAATCCCTCAGTCCTTCTTCTGGCTCCCCCTCTGATGGGAGGGATTGCCGGACGGGTCCCTCATTAGAGGACCTCCCTTTATAAGAGAGCTTTCCCCTTTGCTGTGGGGGGGGGGCCCTTCAAAGGGAGTGGAGCTGGAAACCTGGACCAGAGCTCCCCTGTTTTCTTTCCCCTGAAACAGTGGCGCCCAGGTTCACCCCTTTAGCCCATCTCCTAAATGTACCTTGCCCAAAGTTCCCTTATTATTTCAATACAAATTTTTCCCATTGCTTGTGATAATTTGGAAATAACTTCTTGGATTGAGTTATATCTTATAGAAGGAAAGATCATCCTCTCTAATTACTGCCCACAATGCTATGCCAACTTCGTAATCAAATAATCAAATTGGAGAAACCACATCGCTGTTTGCTGCCTGCTTCTGCTCTGCTAGAATTTGGAAACCACAAGCATCGCGTCATGAATCCTGCTTTAATCCTCGATACAGAATGTGTTTATGATAATTTTGTACCCTTTATCTTAAATTGTAATGTGGAAAAGATTTTTGCCCCATTCATTGTAACTATGATTGGTGTATCACTTTCTAATGTCTCTCGAATTTGTAACGTTGCTAATTTGTTTTTACCTCAGAACTCCCATTCCTTTATGTAATTTCAAAAGAGTGAGCTGTAGGATTTGTAATTTTCTCTTCTTCCCCCCCCATCCCCTTCCCTTGCCTTTCCCCTTTGTCCTGCGTTCCCTTCTCACTCCCCCTCCCCCCGCGGTCCCTTGTCCCGACTCTGCGTTCCCTTATCTCTTCCCCTCACCACGCGGACAGTCCCTGGCCCCCCCCCCCCGCCCCCTGCCGCGCCTTTCTCATCGCTGTCCCCGGGGTTTCCCTGCCCCTGTCCCCTGCCTCCCGTCCCATTGGCCGCGGCTCAGGTTCCCCCCGCCCCAGCACGGGGTATAACCGAGCCCCGCTCGGTGCCCCGGTGTCTCGGGAACACGCTCACACAATAAACACGTGTTTGCAGCCGAGCCCCGTGTCGCCATTTCGTCTGTCCCCGCGCTATAACTGAGCCTCGCAGAGCCGAGGGGAAAGCGGCCGCCGCCTCCTCTCCCCTCCTCGCCATGCCCGCAGACGTCCGCCTGGAGCTGGTCTCGCACGGCAACAGCCTAGAACTAGTGGCAGGACGCTTGGTAGTGTGGAGAGCTGGCTAGTACCTAGTAGGTAACATCTGCATAATGTTGATGGATGCAGCAAAATGTGACATTAATACTAGCCCTTATGACAGGCTGCTAGAAGAAGCAGTCTGAAACTTGGCTATACTCGCCTAAGCTGCTTCTTATAGTTGGGAGTCAATGACAGGAAAGTAGGAGCTAATTAAGATGTGGGATGGGGAGAGATTAGAAAATTGTTCTAAAATCCTATAAAGGTAGATAATTAGTGACATGGTGTCTAATTGCCAGAATTACATGCAAGTATCGATGAGAATCTCTTCCTTTCTCCCTAACTGTTTCTCCCTAGTGTTGGCAATAATTACTAGCTGTCTTCTGTCATTCTTATTTGTGCCTGTGAACAATTTTTTCTATTAAAAGCTAAATCATAGCAAGAAGATGCTTATTAATTCTAAATATGGTGAGTTTAACAACCACTGTTGCCTGCTGTGAGGTGAGTTTCATGGTCTGCATCTTGCTGCTGAGAAAGCTCCATCCCTAGTGTTCACAGATCTTCTGTTTTGCTTGAAAGGTTTGCCTTGGTAGTGCATTTCCCAGTGTTTTGAAAGGCTGTGATGGAAGCAGGTAAATAGAAAATAAATACCTCTAGTTAGAGACACTCCATTAAGACACATTGCATTGATTTCAGATTTCAGCCTTAGTAATCACCAATGTCTTGGTGATTGAGGACAGATTTTTCATCTTAACTAGCAGCAGTTTTTTTCTATAATCTTTCCTATGAATTCAGACTCACAGAATTTATCCTACTTTGTTTGTTAGCAAGTCCTGACAAATGTTGCTGTTACATTTTATAATTGTTTCTGAAGATAGAACATGCAAAATACCAAGAATACATATCGTTCCTTAAGCAGAAATCTTCATACTTCACCTAAAATTACTCCACTGGGAGCCTGACATGCATCTGGTCACCTATGCATGTGCTCAGCAAAGATTTCTCATGGTTAACAAGTCCTTGTAAAATGAGCTGTTTGTTGCTGAGGCTGCTGTCAAATCCCACAATGCTTTTCCACTTTGTCCAAGCAGTTTGGGAGAAATTTGATCATTCTCTGTCAGGCAGCATCAGGCTCATGCAGAGAAAGCTCATTCTGATTGACAGTAATCTGAGGAGGCACTGTTTGATCAGGAAGATACTCGCTTCAAAATGTGTGCTTAGGTGGAGAGAGTTTCCCAGATGTCACAGGGTAATCCATTGCCTCCCCTGGAGGGAGAACATGAGACAGCCAGTGGCTCT